ATGGTAACAGAACAACCAGAAAAATCTGACACATTTCTGATCTGTCAGTGAAAATAATTCCTATCAATTCCTGTGCAAACCTCCACACTGGATTAAAAAATGCACCCAAGACCAAAATGTAGCATTTAAAACTTGCCCCACAATTCCAAGGAGAGCAGAGACTGATGCCTGCTCAGGTCTGTGCTTTCAAACAAGCAGCAGATCAGAAGCTCCTGCAGCAAAGTTCAACAGAATCTGCAGCCCAGCTCAGAGCCCTGGCTTTTATTTCCAACACTCCATCCAAAGCTCCAGAGATGGGGAGCAGTTGCAAGGGTCAGTGGGATGATTCCAATAACCATACAGAGCTTGGCTTCCTATTATTTATAGGAAAAGCCTGGGAAAACTGGAACAGGACACTTCTCAGTTAATAAAAGGGAATGAGACTTTAACTGATAGCAGCCAGGATGGCTTCAGGAGCTCACATCTCACAAAAATAACTGCTGACACTATCAGCTGGGGTGAAACTGCTGTCCCTCTGATCCTCTGACTACATGCTGCAACTGGACAAGTTACCACAGTTTCACAGACAGAATAAGGAATTGTTAATAGAGAACAACAGTTGGGAATATTTCCAATATTATCCAGTCAGCCAGCTCTTGGTTAAGCAGTATTTATATTTTTGTCTTTTAGGCAGTCTCTGATGGGGAACCTCACAGCACGTGGACATGCCTGGGACAGGGCCCAGGTAAGGAGGGCACCTGAAGGACAAGGTGACACTTCACTTGGTTGGCTCCAAGACACCCTCCTTCATAAGAGATCATGTATTCTTTGGTTTGAGCTATAAAACAACATCAAAAGCTTAACTGTGTCATCAACAACTGACAACTCAACACCAAAGTCTCAAGCCATCTTCCTAACATGTCGTGCTCTAAACCAACACCCTGGTGTCCACTCACACAGAGAAGGGGACCAGGGAATGAGACAATGTCCATCTGGATGTGCACTGCTTATCCTTCTACCTGGGACAGAGATCTAATGAGGAGCTCATGACCAGGTTGCCTTCTGACCTCTGCTGTGTCCCTTCTGTATTTTCCTGTGCCTAAATACCTTGACAAAATCCACCCTGAAGCAGCAGGAGACAGGAGGGCTCTGCCACCAGTGCTGCCCACAGAGCTAAGGGCAGGCCCTGGAGGGTCTCAAGATGTGGACCAAGACACTAACACATCCCAAAAGCAGGGACCTCCACAGGGTCACCAAGGGAGGAGTCACTCCCCACCCTGCCTGGACACGTAAGGAAAACCATGTTCTCATGGTGCACTTTGGTTTGGCCAAGAAAGGTTGGGGGTCTCACACAGAGCTGAGATCATCATGCTTCAACAAAAACATCTTCCAGCTAATACGGGGTAACTGGTTTGGGCCTTGTTATGGCTGATAATTAATTCATTGATTTGGGGTTGGTGGTTGCTTAGTGACCACAAGTCATGACCTTATTATATATATTTTTTCTTACTCAGTAAGAAAAGGGAAGAGAGCCCCAGCCAGTCTTGCACACATGCAATGCTCAAGGCTGATTTCTCAGCATTAGACTCATGTTCTGCTGTTCCTCCTGAGCTGCTTTCATGTCGGGAGAGAAAATGTGAATGAGAATCTGGAGGTTTTTTTTTTTAAAACAGCAAACAAGGAACAGTTACAAAAGCACAATTATGAAATAAACCAGCTATGGTTAAATGCCTGTTCGGACAAGAGTGGCAAGATGAGCATATCCACGGGCACTGCCAAAGGTGTTTTTTCTGCTACTATGGGAAATAAGTAAAATCAAGATGAAGTTACAATACACAAAATCTATAAGGGGAACTAAAAAAAAAGAAAAACAAATGGTTTGCAAAACACAGGAAACTTAAAAAAAAGGCTTTTGGGTTGTTCTGTAGATGCAGAAATTTATTCTAAAAGAAGAAATGTGTGTCACCACTATGACAAAGTAGAGGCAGCAACTCATTAGCTGCAAAAAATACTTTAAAACTTGTAAGCTAAAAAAACTTACCAAAAAGATGGATCATGAAAGTTATTGAGCAGCTGGCACAGGATCCAGGTGATAAAAACCTGACGTGCAATTAGTAGCACTGCAAATGTTTAATGAGAACAGGTATCCTGGTGCACACCTGACCGCACTGCGCGGAATCCCACATTGGACTGATCAATGCTGACGTGGATTTAAAACCTGAACACTAATGGGACACATGCCAGGAGGTTGGCAGTGGCACTCCAGAGAAGCCCTGAGGTCCATCCCATTTTCATTGCCTCCCCTGGACCAGCTGCTGGGTCTCCTAACACAGCCTGTCTCCACTGCCATCTCCAGGGGTGTGCTGGGAACCAGACAAATGGCTCAGGACCACCCTGGAGTGAGCTCTCCCTTCACAGCCCCTGCAAACCAGCTCCAGGCTGCCAGAGTAGGAGCCCAGGCCTCTCCCAAAGGCATTTCCTGTACATGAGTGACAGAGCCCTGGGACAGGCTGCCCAGAGAGGCTGTGGAGTCTCCTCTGGAGACATTCCAAACCCACCTGGACATGTTCCTGTGTCATGTGCTCTGGGTGATCCTGCTCTGGCAGGGGGATTGGACTAGATGATCTCTAGAGGTCCCCTCCAACCCCTAAGATTCTGTGATGAGCTGAAGGGAGAACATCTCCCAGCCCACCTGGAGCAGCAGGAAACAAGGCTCTGCACCCTCCCCTGGGAGATCTTCTGGCTGCCTGAGGTTGCTGCTGCACAGAAACCATCCCCACATGGGCAACAGCAGAGGCTGCACTGGCCAACAAGCACTGGGATGTGCCCCAGAGGGGCTATGGGGGCACTGACAAGTTCTCTCAACACAACCTCTCAAGTCCAACCAGGAACATAAAGTGCAGCAACTGCCATCCTGGCATTCCCTGTCTGCAGGTCCAGAAAACATGAGAATGAGAAAAAAATCCCAGAAATTATAGATCAGCCCAATTCCACAGTCTCCACAAACACTTCCTACTTGTAGGCACACGTTCTCTCCCTCCCCAGATCTGCAGCCTTCTGCTTTAGCCATCCTTGACCCCAGTGCTTGTGGCTGTGGTGAAAGCAGCAGCTCTGGGTCTCTGATTCTCATCTCACAGCCAGACAAGTGCAGCCCAGTATTGGGAACTTGAGGAGATTTCTCCAAGAGCCACCACTTAGGCCACTGCCCTGAGCTGCCTCTTCCTAGCAGACCCTTGGTTTCAGTCTTTCATCAACTGTTCTACCAGAAGTACCAGAGCAGAGGCTGGACTGAGCCCTGCCCCTTCCCCATCCCAGGGGATGCCCCCCTGCTCTCCTCAGCCAGAAACTCACATGCCCCAGTTCTTAATGAACTTCAAACAACTTCTCCTTGCTTGGGAAGTTCACCTGCCAGTTCCCTTGACCCCAGGTGGATACCATCTGGACCTGCTGGTCTGCCTGTGATTAGTTTGCAACTGTTACCTGACCTATTTTATATAAAACAGCCACATCTAAAACAAGAACAATTCATCCTACCCAACATGTTTTCCTGCCCTTTTTCCTTATACTTTTCAATAAAAATAATTGAGCCAGTCAAACACAGATTCAGATTCAATCATGGAAGAATTCAGGCTGGAAGGGACCTTTGGAGGTCATCTAGCCCAAACCCCTCTCACAGCAGAGTCACTTTCCTCTTGAATGCACAGGGTGGCTTCTTGCAGCACTGCTCACTGACACCATCCACCACAGGACAGTTAGGGTTGGAAAGGACCTTTCAAGGCCATTTAGTTGAACCCCCCCGCAGTGGGCAGGGACATTTTCAATCAGTCCAGGCTGCTCCAAGCCCCATCCAACCTGCCATTCAACACTGCCAGGGATGGGACATCTACCACTTCTCTGGGCAACCTGGGCCAGGGTCTCACCACCCTCACAGTGAAGAATGTTTTCCTAAGACCTCACCTCAATCTCCCCTCTTCCAGTTTAAACCACCATCCTTTGTCCTGTCACTACAGGCCCTGCTAAAACTCTGTCCCCTCTTTCTTACAGACTCCTTTTAGGAACTGAAAGGCTGCAATAAAGTCTCCTTGGAGCCTTCTCTTCTCCAGGCTGAACAACCCCAACTCCAGCCCTGCTCTGGACCTGCTCCACCAGATCCATGTCTTTATATAAGGAATTTCCCCATGTCCTTTCTGACTCATATGTTCCCACAAAGACTCAGGAGCTGTTCATAACTACCAGCAACAATCAGATGAGAAAAGAAGTGCTAAAGGCCCAGGTTTCTAGAGTCACAGCCACTTCCAAGAACCAAGCCTGATACTTGCTGCCTCCACAAGTCTTTTTTCAGCTGCTGACCTGACCTCTGTACCCTCTGTGCAGCCACATACTCTTCTGTGCTGGCTCCTCCATTGTTCTAGAGAGCTCTGGACCAGTACATTCCTCAAAATAATTCAAGAAAACTCAACATGTGTGGATTTATATCTGACCTAAAACTTAGGTTTGCATGGCTTACAATACACTGCATGACAATATCTGCACCACAGAGGGACAAAAAAAGATGCTGCAAGGAAAGAGGCTGACCAGAAAATCAAAGAACTCCATAACCATTATCACTGCAATTCAGAGGTTGTCTCCTCCTTGCACAAGGCCCAAGAAACAACCTTAGCAGGAGAGGATCTCTAGGATGAAATGGCTTCAAGGATGCAAAGAGAAAGAGGGAAGGGATTTTACAGAAGAGCTTTTCAGAGCCACTCCAGACCAAAGGTTTGGCTACTCCTTCAGCTTGGCAATCCCCACAGTCGTGAGCCAGCACTGGGCTGAAAAAACTGGACATGGATGTTCCCAGGAGGAAGGTGGCTCTGTCCTGCCATTCCAAGGCCCAAGAGGACCTGGAAGCTGCAGTTCCCATCACCCACTGCAGGCAGCACTAGGAAACCACCACTCACCAGACCCAGACCAGCACAGTCCCGGGCTCCATGGTGAGATCAGGAAGGGAGAAAAGGGGGAAGAAGGAAGATCAGACTCACCAACATCGGACTCTTTGTGGGTTTTGATGATTTCAGCCAACTCAAAATTTCCTGCAATGATGGCCACCTGAAAAGAGAGGGAGGGAAGAGAGTTGAGCAGCTCTGAGCAGCGTGGATCCTGTGTTCACCCACATGGGAGACACCAGATGGGCCAACAACAGCTGCTTCTGTGAGGACACAGAGCCAACAATCCTGCTGCCTCAGCTCACCCAGCCCAGAACCCCAGGATGAACACACACCCTCAGCACCACAGGGAGAGCATCTGGCCATGGCCTGTGCCACCAGAGAGTGGTGAATGGCTCAGAGAGAACCCTTCCCCTCTCCTCCACTGGTGAGGAGCTGCCCAACACCAGCCAGGAATTAACCTGAGCTCCTGCTGGCATGGACAAGATGCTCTCCAGCCCAGACCTTGTCAGGGAATGGCCCTTAGTTGACAAAAAGTGACTTTCCAGCAGCTGAGCTCCCTACATGTCTCCCCTGAATGGTCCACTCATGCTTGTTCCAGGCTGTGCTGGCCAAGAAACCACTTCCACCCAGAAAGCTGCAGCAGCAGCTTGCCCAGGACAGCCCCAGTACTGGGATGGCATTTTAGACCAAGATGAAATTTTGCTTTGCCCACCACCTAACCCATGGTTTCTCTCCAGAGGAAGGATCTTGGAGAGCTCGAAGGAACAAGGAAACAGGGGAAGCTGAACATGGGTCTGCCAGCAAAGCACCCAGACAACACTGGTCTGTCTTATTTCTAGAGGTGCTCATGTCCCATGGAACTGAAGAGCAGCCACAGGCCACACGAAGGGAGGTTAATGGGTGCTGAGAGGGGAGAGAAGGAAGCAAAACTTGAACCAAGGAACTAGCAGCATCACTTGAGCTAAGTTAATTTCTTACACCTGAACCAGCACCACATCATAGCTGGTAAGGCAGAACAAACCCCTATTTTCAGAACACAGTCCAAAGGAATTCTTTCAACAAGCTAAAGAACCAGAGTGAGATGGGCAGGAGCACAGGGAACCAATCACTGGTCCTCAGGAAATAAAACTGGAAGAGCTGCTCTGGTTGAGTCCTGCCTCCAATGTCCCCCCAGACATTTCTGCCCTTCCCACCCTCCCAGCACCCTCAGTCTCCACTGAGCCTCTCACCACCAAGCACCTACAGCTGATCTGGGAACAAGAAGCAGCTGGATCCACCTGATCCTGGGTGACAACAAAGTGCTGCTACTCAGGGCATGTAAGACCAGGCTGAGACACAGCTGCAGGTTCTGCCTGTCCATGCTGGGACCATCACAACCACCACTCCTTTTATTTTAAGGTGAGGGTTGGTACTAGAGGCAAATGCATCTGACCAGAAAGGTAGCAGGAACCAAACCCCCCAGACAGTGAGGAAGGCAAGAGCCACCCTGACAGCTCCAGCTGTTCAACACTTCCCACCCTCCCACAAGAACAGCTTCAGAAATACGAGGCTCATTTGCATCTCACCACTAACTTGTGACAAAGGGATATATTTAACGTGGTGACTCAGCTCAGCGTGCAGACCTTTCTACTATGATCCTTTATCAGCAGAAATACTCTTACTATCCTAGCTCAACAATGGTTATGTGATTTTTTTATTTTTATTTTTTTTTCATTTTCTAGAGCCCAGAATTCATGCTCCCTCTCCTCAGCTGGAGCTGGGAAAAAGAAAGGAAAGAAAGAAAGGAAACCTTCCTTCTGCACTCAGGAAATTTGGCCACAGCAGCTGAGAAAATCAAGCAATAATCATATATACAGACACATTTCCAAGGTCTGCTCTCTCAAATGTTACAGTCTTGAGCAGGCAAAGAAAGCTGTTGTACAGGAGGGCAAATGACCCGAGTTTGGGGAGATCTGAAAGCAAAAATAGCCAAACTGACAAAAGACTGGAAAGCAGCATTTAGAAAATGCATTTGAACTTCAAAGTTCCTCAAACAAACAATTAAGGTATGACCCATTGTCCCCATGAAAGCCCCAAATCCAGGGTACAAATCCTGAGTCTCCTTGGATGTCTCTCAGGAGTAACTGCTGGAACGTGTGGTGAACGTTTGTGGAGCAGCTCTGGACACGTCCCCATGTCCCTCCCAGCAGGAGATGGAGGTCTTCCCCCATGGTCCCACCACCCATGGGAGGTCCCAGCCCAGGACAGTGATGATGCAGGAGCCAGAACCTCCTTCCCTCCTGCCTTGGAAGTGTTATGACTTCCCAGAAAGGCGAGAAGAAACACACTGGATAGGAAGTCTGTTAAGAACATAATCTCACACAAACCCCTGATAAGGGAGAAGATCCCTGCTGGCTACATTTTTCAATCCAACTTGGAAGAAGCAAAGGAGATGACAGGATTTCATGCCTTGCATTGTCACCTCAGCTGGTGCTCCATGGCACCAGCTTCCCTCCTGGAGCCACCGAGGTCCCCAGTCCTGCCCAGCTCCACCTCACTGCCCACACCAGGCAAGGTGGTAAGGTACAACCTTTTGGGGGGCAGGCACAAAAGAGAAGGGTCTCGAGGCAGGAAATCCCTGAAAATACATATTGAAAAAGTCCTATTTCACAGCTAGCAATTGTAGTGCTCATGTACCAAAGCAGGAGGAAGTGGTGACTACCAGAAAAGAAACACTCTGACCTCCCTGCAGATCAACAGTCTCATTTCAAACAACAAGGCAGATGTCCCACACAGGAAGGAATGTCACCTCAGCATCACAGCCAAGCTCCTCGTCCTGGAGATGCCACACGACAGCAGACACTGTGCAAAGGGCACTTCTCCTGGTGCCACCAACACAGACTCTGTCCCTCTGCACGGCCCATGCTGAGCAATGTCCAGGGGGCACAGGACACACAACCAGAGGCACAGGGTCAGTGTCTGGGATGCTGCCACACCCTGGAACATTCCAGAGCCTGGTATCAAAGTGACAAGGCTTTTTAATCTAACAACAGTTTGCCTATTTTTCTCTTTTTAGATCAGTAACATCTCCAGGAAAGGAGGAAAGACACCTGAGCAGTCTGTGTGCCATGTCATGTCCAAGTGCTTGCAAGGTCTTGAGTTAACAGCAGAAAACTGAAAGATAATTTAAATATTCCTGTAAGAGTCACAGCTCTGAGATCTGACACTGGGCAAACGTCTCCAATAAAAAATAAAAGCCCATGATACTGGGAAGGATCGCCCAGCCCCTCTACCCTCCTGGGGACACAGGCTGGCACAGAGTTTGGTTACAGCCCACGAGAATCCACCTTGAGGGCAGCAAGAGCAACTGCAGCAGAGAGGAGTCCAGAATGTCACCATTGTCACCCTGTGTGTGAAGGCAGCAGGGGCAGTGACAGCCCTGGGCTGCAAAGGCAGCAGCAGACATGGGGAAGCAGGTGGGACACTTTGGCTCTAGGAGGTGATGGAGAGAGAATCAAGTGATCACCAGCAGAGCTGCTGGGCAAGAATGGAGCAGACCTTCCATGCAGGAGGAATGTAAAAGGGCTAATTAGGGTGCAGGCAGCCAATTTAGTGTCCTAACACATTCAAGCTGCTCTGCTCTCCTCAGACACTGAGAAGCATCTGTCAACATGCCAGACTGTTGTCAACTATTTTGGTATCACTTTACCCAAGACCTCTCCAGTTCCTGGGACTTTCCATTGCTGATGATTTTCTACTTCCCAGATAAGAGAACGATTCTATTCAACCCTCACGCTGCTCATCAGATAGCACTGCTCCGTGGCTGGACTCTTTTCAAAGTTGTCTACCTTCACTCTGCCAGGCAGACTCCAAGCACGTTCCATATTTGTTCTAGGTTTCCAGAAATCTGGCAGTCCTACTAGGTCAATCCTGCTGCTCACAGATGGCAGCTCCATCTGGGCCCAGACGAGCAGGCGCTCGGGGGACGCCCGCAGCCGCGTGTGCTGCCACCGTACGGCACAGATGCCACCAGTCTGGTGCTTCCTGGGACTGTCACTGGGGTCATCGTGGCACGACGAGGCTGCAGACCCAACACCTCCTGGAGGCAACAGACAGCCCTCCTGTGCAGAGCTACCGAGCAGATCTGGGGCAGACACAGCCCAGGCCCCCCTGCCCACACCCCCTCGGCACCACCCAACGCCCACCCTGCAGCCCGGGCTCCACGCAGCAAAGAGCACTTTTGCTTTCCCAAGGAGCAGAGGCTGAGCCCTTTGCTTTAGAGGAGGCACTTTAGCCAGGCAGCTGCACCAACACTGCCACGAAGCCTCCAGGGAGTATCTGCCAGTGAGCTGGATCAGCCAGCAGGCACAGGTAAACATGAAAAACCAAGACTGTCCAGAGTTGCAACCATCCAGCTCAGGGCTCAGAGAGGCACATGGGGCTACCAAGAGAACAAGATTATTCTAATGAGCTGCATTACAAAACCATCCTAAAGAGAGGAGGATGATGCTGTGATCTCCTCCAACAAGTGGAGCAGGGTGCTCTGAACTCTGAATGTTTCTGGGAAGTAGGAACAAACCTTAAGGAGGCACCTTCGAGCCTTTGCTGCCCTCCTGGGGACACAGGCTGGCACAGAGTTTGGTTACAGCCCACGAGGATCCACCTTGAGGGCAGCAAGAGCAACTGCAGCAGAGAGGAGTCCAGAATGTCACCATTGTCACCCTGTGTGTGAAGGCAGCAGGGGCAGTGACAGCCCTGGGCTGCAAAGGCAGCAGCAGACATGGGGAAGCAGGTGGGACACTTTGGCTCTAGGAGGTGATGGAGAGAGAATCAAGTGATCACCAGCAGAGCTGCTGGGCAAGAATGGAGCAGACCTTCCATGCAGGAGGAATGTAAAAGGGCTAATTAGGGTGCAGGCAGCCAATTTAGTGTCCTAACACATTCAAGCTGCTCTGCTCTCCTCAGACACTGAGAAGCATCTGTCAACATGCCAGACTGTTGTCAACTATTTTGGTATCACTTTACCCAAGACCTCTCCAGTTCCTGGGACTTTCCATTGCTGATGATTTTCTACTTCCCAGATAAGAGAACGATTCTATTCAACCCTCACGCTGCTCATCAGATAGCACTGCTCCGTGGCTGGACTCTTTTCAAAGTTGTCTACCTTCACTCTGCCAGGCA